CAGTAGAAGCCTTCGTCTGTACAACATTGAGCATAGATAATGTGGTTGTGGAGGTTGCACCACAAACATGTGAGCAGTAATCAAGGCTAGGTCTTATCTAGGCCTTGTACAGATTGAGGAGGTCTTGTGGAGAAAAGTACGTCTTAGCTTGTCGCTATTGACGAGATGTGCTCCTACCAGATCAAGTCCTCGGTGATCTGGACTCCTGCCTGACTCCATATAAAGGATCACCTCAATAGGCCAATTCAAATCTGAGCTGAAAAGCTACTTTATAAGTAACTATTTTTATGCAATTAGCGACTTTGTCAGTTTTTAAATATCGTTTTTTATCACTAATTTTAACTTGTTTGTTGTTGGATGTTATTTGTTTGTTTTTTTTTTATTTACTTTGTACATATTTACTTATTGTATCTACTTATTGTATCTTTTTGACGAAACCTTTACGTGTTCATGCATGTCTGATGGAAAATAAATTTATTTATTTATTTATTTATTTATTTATGTGTTTTGAAAGCATTAAACTGTATAAGATTGTTACGTCGCCAAACAGTGATAACCTCCACATCTCTCGCTAGACGGGAAGTCGCTGTTGGTCTTCGTCTCTCCAGCTCAGCGACAGAGATCAGTTTGGCACTGTGAATTCCTGCACGAATACGAAGTTTTCCGAGACTCTAAAAGCTCGGCGAAGTTGGACACCGGTGATTTTATTAAAAATTCTGCAGAGCAAAGGATCGTTTGTCTCGGTGGCGCAAAAAAGCATAAGGATATATAGCATAACGCGTATCCCATTACAGTGGCACAAGAATCGCTTCAAGAAGACTTGGCGACCTACCAAAAGTTACAAGGTGAATGGAATTTGCATTTTGCATGCGTGTAAACCGGAGCCGATGTGAAGCCGTACTGTCGTCTCCGATCAGAAATTGATGGAGGAAGTTTTTCCATGTGCTTACATGAATTTAAATGTGTTTCTTATACAGGCGGTTCCGAATTCAGCTCCCAATGTTCGGCAATCATATTACGTAAATTAAAAAGCGGCGTTATATCAATTTTTTGTGACCGGGTGCTTCAAATTCGACACTCACCATTGGGATCTCAGATACGAAGATGCTTAAATAGAGGCAAAGTTGCGTATTCAGGTAACTAAGATGCAAGATGCCGTTTAGAAAGTTTTGAGATTCAAAGTACTTCCAGAGAGAGACAGAAACCGAATTTTACTTGTAATAGGATCTTTAAATAAATTGCACATTAATATACTAAGTGACATATAAATCCGAACACCCAGTTTATTTTATTTTAATAAAATTTTGTATAAGTACTTAATGAAGCATAATAAGTAAATGATAAAAATTTCAAAATGATTGCACTGCTTTAAAGCCCTTTGACCTTTAATAATGTGTGGATGCACACTGATGTGCTACGCATTCTCCAACGCGCCTAGGCATTCTTCTGATCAGGTGGTCAATGTCCTCCTGTGGTATCTCATTCCAGGCAACCACCAACTCCTCTCGAAGTGCTTCTAGAGTCTGAGGAGGACGTAGCAAATTGAGCAATCTCCTACCCATCATATCCCACACGTGCTCAATTGGGGATAAGTCGGGAGATCTTGGTGGCCATGGTAACAATGTGACATCATTATGTTGAAAGAAGTCTATTGTGACTCTTGCAACATGTGGTCGGGCATTGTTGGAAAGTTGGATCTGCCAGGGTGTCAAGATAGGGTAAAAGATGGGGTTCTAGAACTTCGTGGATATAACGCTGCGCGTTCATGTTACCTCTGATGAAGATTAAAGGTGTCCTGGAACCATAAGCTATAGCACCCCAAACCATAACTCCAACAGTGTGATGAACATGTCTTTCAACAAAAAACTGTGGATTCCTCCTTTCACCACGTCGCCTTCTAACCCTGGCACGACCATCGTGCATGCCTAAACAAAATCGAGACTCGTCACTAAAGACAATACTGTGCCATTCCTGATCCCAGAGTGACCGTTGTCTGCACTACTCAAGGCGATTACGTCGGTGTTCTCGAGTTAAAGGGAGGACCCAGTGTGGCCGGTATGAAAACAAGCCAAAACTTCTCATTCGTCGGTAAACACTTCGCATGCCAATAGGCCTTCCGTGTTCTACAAACCATTCATTTGCAATGGACCTGGTAGTGGAGAAACGGTCCCTTAAGGCCAATAATCTTAGGCGGCGATCTTCACGGTCTGTTGTTCTACGGCGGCGTCCAGTGCCCCTTGCTCTTTGCGTACGGCCTTCTCGAAGCCATGCCTGACAACACCTAACCACAGTGTCTACACTTCTTTGCACTCTAACTGCAATTGCCCGAAAAGAAAGTCCAGCTTCCCGAAATCCCACTATACGGCCCCTATCAAACTCACTAAGTTGACGAAATCGTACAGGTCTCCGTACTCTAGGCATCGTAACCGATGTTAAAGGATGTCAAGAACCAAAATCCGCCAACGTTGATTCTTTACTGCGGCTGAAATATTCATTTTTAGAGCGTTAGTGAATTAAAAAAAGCAGTATGAAAACCGGAATGTCCAACTGGTAAGGCTGAAAATTTGTTCACTTGTTATTTGCAGTAAGATAAATACATTCACCAACTTTTATTAAAATAAAACCATTTAAACTGGGTGTTCGGATTCATATGTCACTTAGTATATCTTCAATACCAAACTCTTCAAAACACATCAGCGGCGGATCCAGGGGGCTGTCCAGAGGGTCCGAAATTTCAAGTTGAAGTTTAAATCCGAGATACCCCCTTCCCCCCTCCTATCGAGGCGGATATCCTCCTGAACATAACTCGTGAGCTCCTACCTCCAGTATTTTTTCATATAGTCCCCCCTGACAATACTTTCCAGATTCGCTCCTGGGACACATCTTTGCAACTGTAACTTTTCTGCTTAAATCCCATCACCTAAACACCCTTGAATATACAAAAAAAATCCTATACTCCAAACTTGAAAGAGTACAACGGAAGTTTATGAAGTTTGTTCTGTTTAGGATTGATCGGACATATCCAGAGAGAGGTACAAGTAATGAGGAACTATGTAGTCGCTTAGACATGTTGACTTTGAAAAAACGTAGGTACTGTGCCCTCAGTAATATACTGAGTGACATATAAATCCGAACACCTAGTTTAAATGGTTTTATTTTAATAAAAGTTGGTGAATGTATTTATCTTACTGTAAATAACAAGTGAAAAAATGTTCAGCCTTATCAGTTGGACATTCCGGTTTTTATACTGCTTTTTTTTAATTCACTAACGCTCTAAAAATGAATATTTCAGCCGCAGTAAAGAATCAACGTTGGCGGATTTTGGTTCTTGACATCCTTTAACATCGGTTACGATGCCTAGAGTACGGAGACCTGTACGATTTCGTCAACTTAGTGAGTTTGATAGGGGCCGTATAGTGGGATTTCGGGAAGCTGGACTTTCTTTTCGGGCAATTGCAGTTAGAGTGCAAAGAAGTGTAGACACTGTGGTTAGGTGTTGTCAGGCATGGCTTCGAGAAGGCCGTACGCAAAGAGCAAAGGGCACTGGACGCCGCCGTAGAACAACAGACCGTGAAGATCGCCGCCTAAGATTATTGGCCTTAAGGGACCGTTTCTCCACTACCAGGTCCATTGCAAATGTATGGTTTGCAGAACACGGAAGACCTATTGGCATGCGAAGTGTTTACCGACGAATGAGAAGTTTTGGCTTGTTTTCATACCGGCCACACTGGGTCCTCCCTTTAACTCGAGAACACCGACGTAATCGCCTTGAGTGGTGCAGACAACGGTCACTCTGGGATCAGGAATGGAACAGTGTTGTCTTTAGTGACGAGTTTCGATTTTGTTTAGGCATGCACGATGGTCGTGCCAGGGTTAGAAGGCGACGTGCTGAAAGGAGGAATCCACAGTTTTTTGTTGAAAGACATGTTCATCACACTGTTGGAGTTATGGTTTGGGGTGCTATAGCTTATGGTTCCAGGTCACCTTTAATCTTCATCAGAGGTAACATGAACGTGCAGCGTTATATCCACGAAGTTCTAGAATCTTTTACCCTATCTTGACACCCTGGCAGATCCAACTTTCCAACAAGATAATGCCCGACCACATGTTGCAAGAGTCACAATAGACTTCTTTCAACATAATGATGTCACATTGTTACCATGGCCACCAAGATCTCCCGACTTATCCCCAATTGAGCACGTGTGGGATATGATGGGTAGGAGATTGCTCAATTTGCAACGTCCTCCTCAGACGCTAGAAGCACTTCGAGAGGAGTTGGTGGTTGCCTGGAATGAGATACCACAGGAGGACATTGACCACCTGATCAGAAGCATGCCTAGGCGCGTTGGAGAATGCGTAGCACATCAGGGTACATCCACACATTATTAAAGGTCAAAGCAGTGCAATCATTTTGAAATTTTCATCATTTACTTATTATGCTTCATTAAGTACTTATACAAAATTTTATTAAAATAAAACCATTTAAACTGGGTGTTCGGATTTATATGTCACTTAGTATATTTGGCTACAAAATGATCAACAATTTAATTGATTGCCCCATGATCCTGGAACAGATCAAGTTTCGTACTCCAACGTTTGCATCTCGCAATCATAAAATATTCGGGCTTCCTACAGCTAGGACAAACATTCTTCTCAAGTCACCGTTATATGTAATGTGCTCTAACTTAAACAGAATTGGATGTTACTGTGATGTATTTACGACAAATGTTAATTACCTGCTAAAGGCAGCTAAGGCTCATTCGGACCAATAGCTCATGTTACAAATTTATACCTGTGTTGCATTTGTTGTTTTCTTTTCGCTTTTTCTTTTGTATTATGTTTATAAATTGTCCTATAAATGTGAAACTGTTGGACAATAAAGCTATTATTATTATTATTATTAAAACTTACCATGAATCTATCACGTAGACTTCTCCAAAACTTGGCGCAACGTTTATACGGCCGATTCGCGCGCCGTTGGCGACTAAACTCGACCGAACTCCGCGCGCGTTTGCCGGGAGTTGGCGCCGTTGATCGGGACTTCGATCCTGGGGGATGCTGGAGTTCGCGGCTGGCGTCAAGTTGACGGAGACCGACGGCGCCGTACACGTCATGCTGGCGTCGCGACGCGTCGGCAGAGTCAGCGATGGAAATAGCAAACGATCGGAAGAACGGATGCAGGATGTAGGTTAGCAGTGCTATTCGCTGTTGGCAATGCGACAATGAAAGAGAAAAGGCGACTTTCATTAATCTATTTTTCTGGCAATGTCCAGAGGATTCAGATTTCGCGCTCGATACAGCGCCGACACTAGCCTGTAAGGGCTAATAGAATAGTCCACTTGGAATACCTGTCACGTCCACTGTAACATCAAGACGCGTCTCTTCATTTTCTAAAAAGCAATTTGGTAGTTTACAATGTAAGCTTTTTTCAAATAGATGTCAAAACATCCGTAAGTGTCCGAACCATCGACAAAACCATAAAGTTTATATTCTTAAAACAGAAACTGTATTCATTTGTCTGTCTGGACGGTCCGTAGGACACTTGCTCATTAGTCACTGTCTAAAGTCATTTCCAGGATGCGACGTGCTATCTTCTATACTACAACTATTTAAAACTGTAATGACTCATACGCGGGATCAACACGTGATCAGAGCTCGATCCCGGCTTCCTTCCAGTGCAGCCGTATAGCGTACGACATATGTCGTTTCTGTGGCTTTGCGGTGGTCAACAGCACAGACAGAGATGGAAATAATGGCTGATTGTTCTCCGCCGGTAGAACCAATGAAATCAAAGACGCGCCTCGACCGGCAGACTCATAGGCGTCGGCAACGCATTGGAACGTGTTTCGTTGAGCGATCGCATATTGTGTGTTTTTATAAGAATTGTTGTGTGATTGTTATTGTTGTGGTTTCTGTGGTTACTGTTTTGGTTATACTTAACCATGGAGAGTACAAATGGCACGAGTGGAAGTACTGAAAGCCAGGGAACAAGTAGACGGCTTCGTAAAGCACTGAAGAGGGACGCGAAAGAAATTGTGCTCAACGTGTTCAATCATCATATTACATTCATTCTTCTTTAGGAATGAGATACCAACCCTATAGTAGAGAGTTTACTAACAATTATTATTCGATGTCACAGTAGATACCTCGTAAATAATTATTTTTAGATCTTGAAATATATTATATTCCAGTTTCGAGAAAGTTGTCGTTTTATTTTTATACATAATCAAATGTATAATGATAGTGACACGATACTCAACATTTGTGGCAATTACTATTTGTAGTTTTTTTATTGTTTGAAGATCAAATTTTGAGTTTTTAATATATCATTTTTTGTACTCGTCTTTTTATTTTATTTTGATGCTAACAAAATGGGTAAACTAAAAAACATGTGTTTCTGTTTTTTCTTTTTTGAAACCGGAAGGTTATGGTTTCGATTAATTGTATACCCGTTTTTAATGTTAATAATACGAGGTCTGTGAATTAGGTAATGAGACTGACAACGTAGCGTTCGATCTGGCAGCACTGGAGGCGCCAAACTTAGAGGGGAGGCAGGCGAACATGTGATCCGCCTTCAGTACAGGTTTGAACCCACGCGAGCCATTTGGTTGTCCATAGCGCTTTTTTTCTGTGACTATAAAATTGTAGTTATGTTTGAGTGAGACAAATTTTAAAAATCAGTCTCATCACTTAATTTACAGACCTCGTATCATTACTAATCTATATAGAAAAGCATGCAATCTATCGAATAAAAGAAAAATCGATTATTTTTTTCTTCCAAAATCATTTATTCACAAACAGATTAATATTGTGTTACGGGTTTAATTTGAAAACCTAGGAACTGCCGTGACCCCGCAATAATCGTAAACACTAAACAAGGGTAGACATATTAATAGTTTCACTACCTGAAGATTTTCTCTATGGTTTATACGTAACTCTCCACCTATTATCTCATTTTGTAGTTGAGGGCCCCTTCATCTGAGAATTGTTTACGTCTTCGTTTCTTTCCTAACCTCAATGTTACATTTTGACAAGTGTTCGGTCCTTTCAGTCCGGAAACAGTCCGCTGTTGTTCCATTGCTCCATTGCTCCTCTCGAACTATGTGTTCCGTGTCCAAGTTGAAGAGACTTCACTTTTTGGTCGTAGCTCTGTTGAGAAGCACGCATTTTGCGGATGTTTACGCCAAATGAAGTCTAAGCATTCTTCCTTTTTATGTCTCATATAATCCTACGGGGATGTGGGAGACGGGAGTCTTCGACGCTTTTACGGCGTTCTAGCCGACACTTTTAGGCCACACTCCAACAGAGGTAAGCAATTCGGCTTGCGTTAAAATGGAACCCGGCGCCGTATTGGATTTTTGTTTCAGGCCTTTTTCATCTTCTTCCAACTTTTTCATCTTCTTCCAACTTTTCGTCTTCTTCACCTTACGTTTTCTCCACCAAACTACTGCTGATACTTTCAGATGAAGCCCTGACGACTTTTCCACGCCCTGCCCAGTAATGAGAGTTCCAAGCAGCCCCTGAGGAAGGGAGCTGATTCAGCTGTTGCCAATGTCCACAGACGCCATGTGCTGAAACCCCGTCGAACTGCATCTATATACTTAAGCAGCTAATTTAACTTAATAAGAATTATTTATCCTAACTTCACAGCTGGTGTGATCCTGAGGAATGCATACCCCCGGAAACTTGGTAAGTCACTAATGTTCGTTTTCATTTGTTGTTAGGTGATCGATTAACCATTGCAAAGTGAAATTTTGAGCTTACTGTGATCATTTTGAATACTTGAAAATCCTGTCATAGCACCCTTCAGGTAGTTTGTTGCAAACTTTGTAATTGTGATTTATTAAAAAATGTTAAATAGATTTTGGGCAAGCTCTGGAAATTGGCAATCTTTTCATTTCCCCCAGCGCCCTAATCCTCCAAATCAACAACCACTTCGAACCCCAGAAGTAACATTCATCGTGCAGGGAAGTGCATCTACAACCACCCCCCTGGCACGAGGGTAACAATTGAAAACGAAAGGATTGATTCTTTATTATTCGATTTTTCAGTCACGCGCAATCGCATTCACCATTTTTAAAAGTCATATTTTCCAATTTTCACTTTTTCCTCTTTTAACTTTCGGTATGAAAGACGGTATGAAAAAGCTACTAATTATGCTAACAATTTAGGAACGCAATCTGGCGTCTATGTCTCTTGGTGTCCTTTTATAGCGGTAACACCGGCTATAAATAGCACGCTCGCTATTGGAAAACACACGTGTCTGTTAAACGCTAAGCACTGTTCAGTGCTCTATTTTCCTCTTAAGGTTTACAGAGATATATTCACTCGATTTAACACAATAGATGTTTCTATGAGGATGTGCTCGGAGATACAAGGTATTTTGAAGGATCGACACAGACGGAGGACTGACAGAACTCCTTATTTGAAACATCGTCATATCATTCTTTATTCTTTATCCACCACTTACATACAATAGTACATGTGGTAAAAAATATATATAGAGAGAGAGAGAGAGAGATAAATTGACACTGACGCTACCAGCCTTCTGTCATTTGTCAAATGTTTCATTCTACTGATGATCCTGTGCCACACCATTTTGTGCAGCTTCAGGTTGTTTCACGATGTAACATGTAATAATTTTAACTTTCGTTCCAATTATTTTTAATCCGTTTTGATGTGTTCCTGACATACAGCTGTGTGTATTTTATACTAATTTTAACGAATGTACCATGTATCCAGCTTTCACCAGGTTACTAAATGTTTCCCTCAACTTATCCTTTAATAACATTTAGCAACAATCTCACACTATTGTTAGTAATTTAAAATCATTTTGCACAATAGTTGCTATTTCTTCTTAATGTTATTGCAGCTCCCAAAGGCGGAAGCTTTATTTTTCAACTAACTGGTCTAGACGACAATGACCACGTCTCAAGTTATATATATATATATATATAACTTATATATATATATATATACAGGGTGTCCGCAAAGTTGAGGTTTTCCTTTACACGACGTGTAGATCTTGAAAACATAAGCAATTTTTATCAGTACCATATACACCAATGTCTTAAGGGAACCGAGATGAAGGGCTCTGCAACATCAAAAATATCTGAATACCGTCCTGTAGCCGCGACATCCCCGAGTGGTACTAGGACACTAGCTCAACCCAACGACAGAACTGGGTCGGGATCAGTGTGTCAGGTCAGTATGCAACCTTCAACCGACGGTTACGGTCACGCGTGTAGAGGTAATCGCGTAGACGAGAATCCCTCAACAAGCACTAGAGACGTGGCTAGAGAAGTGCAAGTATCAAAAACTAAAGTGTGGCAAACGCTGCGTAAAGAGGGGCTGTATCCGTTTCACGTCCAACGTGTACAAGCCCTTCAACCTGACGATTTTCCAGCAAGAGTTCGGTTTTGTGAGTGGTTGTTGCATCAACATGACAATAATCCGGACTTTTTGAAGTGCATATTGGTGACAGACGAATCTACGTTCACGCGTAATGGGGTGAATAACTTTCGCAACACTCATGTTTGGTCAGTAGAAAATCCGCACGCTGTCCGTCGGGCACATTTTCAACAAACATTTTCGGTGAATGTTTGGGCTGGCATGGTGAACGGTATGCTCATTGGACCATTTTTTCTCCCAAATCGATTGGACGGGATGCAATACCTAGACTTTTTACGCAACATTTTGCCTTCCTTGTTTGCCTGCGTCTGCTCGGTAGCGCAACAGCTGATTTCATTTTCTGTTGGAGCGGTATGATTTCGGGCAGAGACGTACTTAGCCCTTCTCGTCAACTGGAGAGTGAGTACTACTTCCTTTTTTTTTTTACTTGATCGCCCTCGTTTCACTACACATTACCTTTGTTATTTCAATGGTAGTTGTTTCTGAAAAGGAAAACCCCAACTTTGCGGACACCCTGTATATATAGGGTTCCGTTGCTTGACTTGACCAACACTGTCTATTGCATTAATTGTAACAACTGCAATTTAGTTTACATACGCGAAACATCTAGATCACTAAAAGTTCATGACAGATCACTGTATGAATAAAAAGGCTGATGTTTAGCAACTTAGTATCATTTATTCTTACAAACCCTGTATACGCTTTGAACATAACCCCTCTTCAGAAAGCACAACATAAGAATAACAGATCGGGCACAGCCAATAGAAATACTTCAATGGAAGCATATTCAGTAATGATTTTCTCACACAGCAAATATCACTGATTTTATACACATG